TTTGAATTATGTACTTTCTCTCCTTTTTGTTTCCTTGGTTATTTCCCGAACTTTGTTCAGAATTCTTTAAAAGATTTAATTTGAATCTATCCTGTCTTGGGAGAATGGTTATAATTTATTCTTTCTTTTCTATTTCATTTCCTTCCTGGCTTCAATCAATTCTTATTTGATTCTTATTGTTTTGTTATCCAATTGTACTTTGACTTTAAAAATCTCAATTAAGTTTTACTCCCCACCCCCCATTTCCCTAAATTTAACTAAATTAATATTTAATTCAGTTTGGAGTCAGGGTCTTGGAGTACTTTCTTTTTTGCTTCATGTTCCTTTGTTTTTGTTTGTTTTGTTTTGTTTTTGATGGGGAGAAGGAGAGTGTTCATAAGCTGAATTTTATTTTAAACAGTGGCTTTTTATAGAAGGAAAATTGCACTTATCTCTTCATTTCAAGGCCAGGGTTGAAGAGTTGAGGTAGTTTATAAGATTCCTAGTTTAAGAGCACCCTCTCCTGTTACTGTAGCAAAGTAGAGTTTCTTTAATGAATATTTTTCTATTTTGGTATCCGTTCTGTCCTACAAACTGGAGTGATTTTTTGTTTTTAGTATTATGAGCATATCATATGCTCACTCAATACACTGCTTGCTGCCTACAAAGTACCCAACATTTCCTTTGTGACTGGCAGTTTGGAGTATGGTAGGTCATTTGCTCATATCTTAATACATTTTAGGAACATATTTAAAAGTACTGATACTCTTCCTTGAAATTTCAGGACTTTCCATTTGTGTTCATTCATTTATACTTCATTCAGTGTATTATTCAAATAGCTCTTACAATGTCAAGTGTGTGTTTCGGTCCTAGCCATGAAAAGGTGTGGAAAATATGATTCTTATTTTCTAGGACAATGGTCTTCAAAATGTTGCCCACATACTCTGTCTTTAACAGTTAGAAATTCCAGTTGACCATTTTCCTCCTTAAACTGATATTTTGACCCCTTTCTAGCAAATATTTATCCTAATTTAAAATAGTTTATACTTAGAAGCCTTGGATTATGTTTTCAATCTTTTCTGCACCAAAAATATGAACATAGTTTTTTTTTTATTTTCAGTGACTATAATTGTCCAAGAGTTATCCTTATGAAAAAAACTAGTAAAAACTGAAAATAAATTTTGATAGTCATAAAGTATAAAGTTATAATTGGAAATATATTTCTTCATAGGATAGGACAGGTTTCAATAGGTAGTTTAGTAAAACTAATACTTGTAAAATAACAGAATGAGGGAAGCAATAGAGGAGCCCAGAAGGAGGAGTCAGGCATTCTCTCTAGTTGGTCTGGGAAAGGCTTCCCAGAAAAATTGCCATTTATATTGGATCTAAAGGATTAAAAGGCATCTTTTGGGCAAGTAAGGTAGAAAAATAAAATTCTAAGTAGAGGGAACAGTGTGTGCAAATCTGAGAGAAAAGAAGAATATGCCCTGTCCAGGCAACAGGTCTTTTTGGACATGTCTAATCTGTAATGCCCATGAGACACCCAAATGAACTTTGGTGTCTTATTGGCAAGTGAATAGAAGAATGTGGAATCTAGTGGGATAGGGTAGCTGTTGATAAATTGTATTCAAAAATCTATAAATTAACCCAAGCTTTGATATTTTTCTGCCTATCTTCACTAATGTACATATCTATGAAATATATAATAAATTTATCTATATATGTATATATATAATTATATATGCATTAATTTGATACTGTTTCCTATTTCTTTCTTTTAGCCTTGATGAATTGATTTTTTTTCTTTGTAACCTCTTTCCTGCCCTTTGGAATTTATATTACATAGCTCAATCTGTTTTTCAGAGAAACAGACTGATATATCAAAGTAATATAATAAGCAAGCCTTCTTAGGTAAGGAATAATTTTTCCCTATTTTGGCTCATGATTTGCTTCTTCAGCCCTCAGATATGGTGTTGGTCCTCAAGTAATGGAAAACAATGGTTCACCTAGTAGTTTTTATGCTTGTGGATAATTATAAGCTTTCAACAACCCAAATGACCTTTTCCTTTTTTTTTTTTCTTTTTAAGTCTCTCTTCTCTAAGATCACAGGTGAAAACTGAAGGTCCTTTCTCAAGGCACCTTAGATCCCAAGAGAAAACCCAAAGGCTCTGGTGATAGGCCTCCTTTTTGATACCATGAAGTTCTTATATTCACAATGCCCGGCTAAGAGATGGGCTTTGGTTCTGTCCTTACCTCTTTGAGTGACAGAGAACTTGAATTCTCACAATTGGGAATGACAGGGGTTTGACATAAAGCCAACATCTTTCCATAGTGTTTTATATTTACTCTAAAACTTTGCATTCTAAAGCCACCTTTGTTTAACCTTAAATCCAAAAAAGAATACCTGTGTGACAGATGACACAAAATTCCATTGGAAATGAATTTGATACTAAATGCAACTAGAGATAATTTACATTATTTTGCATTTCAGTAAGATATGTTGTGCTTAAAGAATTGTGCAAGTACAAGTCAAAGGATGGATGTTACAAGATTATTTGTGAAAACAAATATTAAAGAAAGAAACTAAACAGCCATTGGATACAAAATTCCATTGGATACAAAATTCCACTGGAAATGAATTTGATACTAAATGCAACTAGAGATAATTTACATTGTTATTTTGCATTTCAGTAAGATATGTTGTGCTTAAAGAATTGTGCAAGTACAAGTCAAAGGATGGATGTTGCAAGATTATTTGTGAAAGCAAATATTAAAGAAAGAAACTAAACAGCCATTAATAGGATTAATGAGGTTACTTAAAATGACGGACCCTACATTAAATATTGCAGACTACACAGCATAAAAAGGGATGATATAATATTCTGATGGCTAAGCTTTCCTATAGTATCTTCTGTATGTCAGACATGGTACCGAGTGTCTCACATATGTTAACCCCTTCTAGTCTCACAACCACCCTATGAAGTAGGTGCTATTATCTTCTCCAGTTTGCCAGACAAGGAGCTGGACACATTAGATTGAGTAATTTGCTCAACAGTACACAGCTGGGAAGTGATGGCTCTAGAGCCATACGTACCGACATGGAACAACAGCACAATATTTTACAAAGAGAAAAGAAAAAAAAAACATAAACAAGGTGCAAAGTGAATGTGTAAAGTATAATTCATATTTCTGTGAGAAACAAATGTGTGCTTGTGTGTGTACATGTGCTGGTGAAAGGGAAACCATATTTAGGTGGACAGAAACCATAATAATACAGAGTGGGATTTAGATGTTGGGGTTTCTACTTTTTGCCTGATACACTGCTGTAATGCCTTCTAAAAGTTTATAATATACATATGGTTACTTTTGCACTTCACGGTTTTAAAGTAATTATAGAGTTTGAAGAAAATACCATATTATAATATGAAAAAAACCTCAAGTCATTTTTCACACCTATGTTGAAAAGAACACTAATTGCAAACATTTGTTTATACTGGTGGTGATTAGTTATTTCACTATTTGAAAAGTATTATTTACTATCAAAAATGCTATTTTAAAATGTTTGATTAATGAATTTCTTTCTACATTTTGCTGCATTGATTTCCTTCCTCTGGTCCCTTTGCCTCTTAATCCTCCCACTGCATGTTAGAGTTTTCTCATGTGAGAGAGACGCATTTCAGATGTCACCATCTGTATTTCCATTTTTAAAGTTTATTTAAGTACCAGAGGACATTGCCAAGAACGCAAAACTCTGTTTGCTTAGCTGAGACTAGCTACAATCCGGACAGCCTTCTTGCCAGTGCTAGAGAAGACAAAAACGCAAACCTCCTTACTGTAAATAGCTGACACTAAACAACATTATCCACTCAGCTGACATTCGATAGACATTATTTATGGCATCATTCTCAACTTCTTTCAGGAGATTTTTAGAAATTAATACTATGCATCCTGTCTTTCCATCAACTTACAGTTTGTGACAAATTAATTTCCATGGAAACTGGTACAGGGGAAAGTATAATTTTGTTGAGATGTTGTGAAATAAATTATGTAATGAAATAGACAAAACACTTAGAGAAACCCGTTAATATTCTCTTTCAACAATGTTAAAACAGTGTCTAAACATATCTCATCATAAAAATGTTTTGTTGTGTTAATTGATAGAGATTTTTGCTTTTAAAGGGATAAACAACTTTTCCTAAAATACAAGTGTTGACTCAGAAGGATATAAGTATTTAAATAAATATCAATCAATGTTTTCCAGATACTTCTATGTGTTTTGTTATGACTTGAGTATCAACCTACAATCCGTTCTCTAATAAGCAAAGCACTACATCCACTGGTCTGCTTGATTAAAAAGTCATAAACACAAATATAATGGAATATGCATCATTTCCTTTGGAATTTATGAAACTGTTTTGCACAATTCCCTAAAGGGTGAGGGAAAAAATCAAGCAATCTTTGATATGCAATATAAAAAATTCCCCAAAGAAATCACAAGGACTGTTTTTGTTTATTTTTGCTTTAAGTATGCAAATGTATTCCTTATCTGTACCTTAACTTTGGCTACTCATAAACATCCACTGCATAAACTAGAAAAAGGTCTTATTTATGAATTAATGTTACCCTTTGTTGTTAGAAAAGAGAAATATGAAATGTGAAATAAAAAGGGAATAAGGAAATAACAGACACTAAGTTCATCTGAAATAGGATGACACCCACATAAAAAATCTTTTTATAACCTGATATAAATATTAAAAATAAGAACGAATGAGTATTAAAACTATGTCCTGTATAATATAAAATGTTAAGACATAAAATCATGTTAAATAATTGCAATCTTTTTTCTAAAATATACTCACATCTTCCTTTCTCTTACTCAGACAGACAAATGCAAAAAAGGCCATTATCCACTATTTTTGCCTCAATAATCTCGTGTTCATTGGTGTTGTATTGTATCAGCTTCGAGAAAAATAAGTAAGCCAATGGCAATAACTGTTCAAAGAACAAGTAGACAATGCTCCTTACCGACACACAGGACCGTTCTTCTCCACTACACAATTCCCACCATTTCTGCAGTAACCAAATGGGCACTCTAAAAAGAAGCATCACAAAACCCACAGTTAATTGTAAATATTATTAGGAAGGACAAGGACATATTACTGTTAATCACTGCATTAAATCTAGCCACTGAGAGTAAATTGCTTCCTACTTGCTAAAAGCACAAGAATTCTCCTAGGCTACTCCCCTGTGCCCCACAAATTTGTTCAGTGGCCCTTGCTGCCCTTGATGTGTTCCTTCTCTTCACATGCCTGAGTGGTTGACCACAAGAGAAGACTTTTTTTCCTCCCCCTGGATTAAGTAAAATCTTATTTAGAACATGTCTGCATGACATATTTGTGATTATACTGAAATTTGTTCTTTAATGCAACATTTATTGTCTTCAGTTCCACACAGTAGTCACTATCATGACAGACAATGCTTTGCACGGGTGACCTTGTCTTCTTTGGTAAAATGTCACTCATGCACGTGCGTGTCCTACCTTTGCATCCATGACAGACATCAGCGTAGCTCAAATCGACCCATTGCCCTGGCCCTGCTCTCTTGCTGCTTGTATCACTCCCCCCTTCTAGGTTATCATCAGCATTTATTTTCAAAGGTGGTTTGCTTATAGAATAAAAAGAAGCTAGATATTGTCACATAGGTATGACTCTGAAGTGGTTAGTGCCTTTAGCTCTTCAGGGTTCTTTACAGTCTCCTTGGATCCTCACACATCCATCCTGATCTTCTAAGACCTCTTGGTTTCCCTACTCAATCCCCAAATTGCTTTTCTTGGACAACTCCTCTCTTGCAGGATATCAATGATATCTCTTGCAGGATACCATTCCCCCCTGGTTGGGCTGTCTTAACTCCAATACTTGGTGAAAATTTGTAATTCAACACATCTATTCTGAGCATCTGTTAATGTCTGGCACTAGGCTAGGCACTGGATATATAACAATAAATAATACAGGAAGTTTACAAAATGATTAAAGCTGCAGGCACCAGAGTCAGACTGCCTGAGGAAGAATCTCAACTCAACTTAATTAGCGGTATAATATAAGATAAGCTAGTTAATGTCTCTGTGCCTCTGGTTCTTCTCTGTCAAACAGGGTTAAAAATAGTACCTATCTCACAGAGTTGTTGAGAATGTTAGAAAACACCTAGCTCACAGGACATGCTTAAGAAATACTGATCTAAAAAAGATACAATTATGGTCTTTGCTTTCATTGATCTTCCAGCTTCATGGAAAATGCAAAACAAAAAAAGTGACTAGGGAATTAAAATGCAATATTAAAAGTAATATAATTTGGAATGGATGTAACAAGGATGATGGGAGTACCAAGAAGAGCACCTAAATCAAATTTGGGGAATAAGGAAACGTTTTCCAGAAAAAATCAGGGCATTCATGTGGGCAAGTGTGTGTGTGTGTGTGTGTAAATAATCATAAAGACTCAGAGGCCCAAGAAGAGAGTGTTTGAGGATCTGAAGGAAGTTCAGCCTGGCTGGACTGATAATGTGAAGAGAGTGTGGGAGAAGGTCAGAGACACACAGGGGCCAGATCATATAGGCTTAGTGAGGAGTTTAAACTTTAACCTCGGAGGCCAGAATTTTAAGAAACTAAATGGATATTTCATGCTTTAAAAAGACTATTCTGGATCCAGTATGTAAAGTCAACAGAAGGGCTAAGACTAAAATTCAGGAGCCCAGTTAAGAGCTTTTTGTAATAATCCAGTAAGAAATGGTGGTTGCCTAAATGAAAGAGGTGGGGTAGGAGGTTGAGAATTGTGGGGATTTATAAGATATTTAAATGTTGGGATTGAAACATCCTGGTGATTTTTTGGAAGAATCAAGGGTGATGTGCAATTTTCTGGCTGGCCCCTGGCTAGTTGGTGGTTTCATTCACTGAATTGGGAGAACTGTGGGAAAGGGAGAATTTATAGGGAAAGATGCTGGTGTTTTAAGTGCCTAAGGGGACATCCAAGTAGAAGCATTCCTTGGGCAATATTATTTGCAGGTCTGAAGCCCAGATAAAACACAGGCTAGGGCATGGATTTGAAGCTTTGGGTTTCTCCCTCTGCCTTTCAGCTGTCATCACTTTTCAGGCTTGCCCCTCAAAAATCACTTGAGATCATTTTTTAGGTGTCATGGGGTCACAAATATACAGTCTTTGTCTTTACAGGAGCAGACTAACCTTAGCAGAGAGAGAAACAATTTACTTGGGCAAAGAAACGATGATGATAATGAACAATAGTAGAAAAGTAATAAGGAGAAACAAAAATTTCATGTAGGAAAATATTCCTCGGAGGAAAACTTTGAAGGGCAACTAGAGAGAGTCAGATTGTGGAGCCAGTCACTGAACACTGGGAATGGGGAGGAAGAGACAGTAGGAAAGAGGAAAAATAGGGAAGGAGGGAGGTTGCAGTGTGGGAACACATTTGCAATGTACCATGTGTCTGGTGTCCTTTTTGTTGTCAAAGGTTTCCAGCAATTTGCTCCCCCAGGGATATAGTTGGCCCCTAAACAACGTGGAGGTTTGGGGCACTGACCCTCGCATGGTTAACAATCCACAGACAACTTTTAACTCCCTCCAAAGTTAACTACCAATCACCTGCTGTTGACTTACTGATAACATAAGCAGTCGGTGAACATATCTTTTGTATGTGATGTGTATTATATGCTGTATTTCTGCAATAAAGTAAGCTAGAGAGAAAAAAAATGCTCTTTGGAAAATCATAAGGAAGAGAAGCTGCATTTCCAGTACTGTCCCGTTAAAACTCTGCATGTAAGTGGGGCCACACAGCTCGAACCTGCGCTGCTTAAGGGTCAACTGCAGTTTCCATATCTCCCCTTCCCTATGTAATTACAACCCGGGAGTGTGGTACTAAAGATGGGGGTGCAGCTACACCCCTCAGGCTTCCGGGCATGCTTGGCTGAACAGAGCAGATGTCAAATTTTCTTCCTAAACAAGAAATTATCTGGTTTGACAAAAAATAGCCCACCAACATGATAAAGCATAAATAGCTACAAACCTTTAGATAAAACATTTTATGGTTATGTTTGGTCTTAAGTACAATTTTAGTCTTCCTCACACAAGGGCTTTGTTTTTATAAGAAAAACTGTAAAGTGTCTGATACTGCAGAACATCAAAATACACACAGCTGCACATTTTTTTTCCTGGGGACATTAATATTTACCTTGATGGCTGAGAGTAAAACATAGGCTTGCTCTACATCAAAATAATGCTATGGAAATTTAAATATGCATTTTATTACACTGGATAATGGAGCACAGTGGAAAGGAAGCACTGGCCAGAGCAAGGAGTAAAACATGGTGTTTTGGAGGAGAGACGCTTTGTAGATTACCTTCACAACGAGTTCTTTTCAGTTTCTGCTTAAACCCAGGTTCTTTAACCATAAGATGGAAAGACCCAGTACAATATATTTTCACCTTTACTCAAAACAATTTAAAGCATGGAATAGCTGAAATGGGGAGGGAGATGTCTATGACTAGTTAGCAATGAAGAGATTAAATACTTCCAGGAGATGGACATCTGGGTGGCTCAGTCGGTTAAGCATCTGCCTTCAGCTAAGGTCATGATCCTGGAGTCCTGGGATGGGGGAGTCCCGCATTGGGCTCCCTGCTCAGGTGGGAGGCTGATTCTCCATCTGACCCTCCTCCATCTCATGCTCTCTCTCTCAAATAAATAAATAAAATATTAAAAAAATACTTTCCAGAGATAAGTAGATAATTCTCAAATGGCAAGTCAGGATCTATAGGGTGGATATTAGAACTGGCATGAGTTCCCAGGCTCCTTAGCCACATCAGTGCCTCACTACCTTGTATCCTCTTGCATTGGTTATTATGACCATGTATCTGGAGGTCAGTATGATGTAGCAATAGCATTCTATGAAGAGTTCAAGTTCAGTTCCACTCTGGTGCATCACTCTGGAAAAGCAGGAACACATATAAACTGGATGCCTACCTGTGTGAGTGTGTGTGAGTGTGAGTGTGAGTGTGTGTGTGTGTGTGTGTGTGTGTGGTCTCTTTCAAAGTCTCTGGAGGCCTGGGAAGGGACAGCTACCACATGGTAGACTGCTGAGACTGACAGTCACGCGAGTCCTGGTTTTCCCTCATTGACACCTGGCTCAGTTAATGCGTTGTCTAACTTTGGGCTAAGTACTTTAAGTATAAGCTTTCTCGTGTTTAAAGTAAGAATTATATCTATCACCTTGCCTTCTAGGGCTGCTGAGAGGATAAAATGAAATGTATTTGTAATATTTCTATACTAGTGAGTGGTATGCATAATGTTATTAAGTAATTGTTTTCAGCCAGCTCCCTATATTTGGGAATTCTTTAAACTGCCCATGAAACCTAATTTCTATTACCAATGCTCTCTCCAGCTTTTCCTTTCCTTTCCTTTTCCCCTCTACCATTATGAGCACCATTACCACTATCATTTACTGAAGACCTGCTTTGTATCAAGACTGTTCTAAGATTTTTACTGGCATTACCTCATTTAATCCTCATAACATTATGTGGGATACCCATATAGATCCTTTTTCACAGAGGATGAAACTGGTTAATAATATAATTTGCTCAAGCTCATAGCAAGGGAGCAGCAGATATTGAACTAAATTCCAGTGCTCTAACTCCAAAGCCTGTTAGTCTAAAAATGTCAAATGATCGGCTATTCAGGTTAGAATTTCTATATAACCCCTTGCTGTTCCTGAGATTATGATCATGAACTTCTCTGAATGGTGCAGTATTTATGCACTGGCATGGATTAAATATACACATATAATAACTTGCCTGTAGTTTCAGGAGCTGTATGGATCTAAGAGTGTTCCAGAAAACCAAATTGTTTGGTGCAGTAAACCAAATACCTGGTGGGCACACACTGTTCTCTTTATCATGAAATCCCCGCACAGGGGCTGCAGGGAAGATTAACTGTGGCTTAGAAATTTGGCATAGCTCTAGAGTGCTTTGGTTTGGCGTATGCTGCAAGTAAAAAATGTTCTTGTTGGAAAAAAATAATAACTTTAACTGAAGGTATTCATTTAAAATAGAGCAAAAGGGAGATGGAGGGGGATGGATGAAATAGGTGAAGGGGATGAAGAGCATACTTATCAAGGTGAGCACGGAGTAATGCATAGCAGTGCCGAATCACCATATTGTACACCCGAAACTAATGTAACACTGTATGTTGAGTCTACTGGAATTAAAATTAAAAACACTTAATAAAAAAAATAAAACCTGAAACATTATTAGGCATTACCATTTTTATTATTAAATAATTAAATTGTATTAAATTAAATTGTATTCATAATATTCCATCCTTTTTTTCAAAGATTTGATTTATTTTTTTGAGAGAGAGAATGAGCATGAGTGGTGGGGAAAGGGAGGGGCAGCGGGAGAGGAAGAAGTAGACTCACTACTGAGCAGGGAGCCTGACGTGGGGCTTGATCCCAGGACCCCAGGATCATGACCTGAGTTGAAGTCTGACTGAGCCACCCAGGCACCCCTACAACTTTATATTTTTAATGCCTTTCCTCATTCTCCTTCAAAGAATGGTTATCATAATTACGGTATCACCTTAACATAACTTTCATTAACCTCTACTACTACATATAACTGGAAAAAGACTCTCAGTTTAAATTAAGCCAGACACATTCTGTTCAATAATTTTCTGTTACATAAGCAACCAAAACCTGAAAATAATATGCCTTTCTAACATAACTTGGGAACACACAGGCCTCATTGAAATATACTTAACCTGCAACACTTACACAGGGCCTGAGGTCAATGTTCCCATTGATGACTTAAACCTCAGATGAGGGGAGACCAGATGCTCACCACCTGCTGTGTGACCAGAGACATTACTGGATGCTGTCAGGATTGGGCTCATAAAGTCTATGAAATGCCATTCATAAAGGGATATGTTTGGAAAGAAAGAGGAAGGTGTCATGGGCACTGATACCTCTTAGTGTGGATTAAGCCGAGATGGCATTCTTAAACACAGAAGTATTGACTTCATCGTATTTGTTTGACAAACTAAACAGCAAGAAAATATAAATAGAGAACAAAAACTATAATGTGGATTTTATTTCTGAAAACTGTTTCACTAGTTCTTTATATTACTGTAACCCAGTAGCTGGGGTAATATGATGTATATTTTGTAAATAAACTGTGAATGAATTGGTGAATGACTAAACTAGATGGGGCAGCCAGAATGTGCTCTCTATTATTACCTCCAGGTTGTCAGTCACTCAGGATGAATGGCCAGTCTTCTGTTTTTCTGACCATATTTTTAAAGGTAAAATATGTAAAATCAGACAATAAACCATACCATGTTATGATATATTTGTTCTCATAGAGGACTATCCTGAACAAAATCTCACCTTTATGCAAATAAATTTGGTTACTGGATATCAGTGCTTTGTCTTAAGAGTTTCAAAGAATGAAACTATCTCGTTAATATCTTTCTTATTCTGAAAAGAAAGTGAAACCATTTCCTTTCGGGTATCAATCTGATGTATAGGCATGCCTGGTACAGAAATAATGCCAGAGACCATTCACCTTTGCATATTTTATGGGACCAGATTTGCTCGCTTCTTGATGTCCTTTTGTACTCATATAATTCAGGACTCTGTGAGTATTCATTTCGGCAGCATAAAAAATAAGACTTTTTTGCACTGTGATTTGATTATAATTATCATGCTTTTGTCACTTATCTCATAAGAGTCTGCTCTCTTGAAAGATACAAAGAATATATTCTCATCTAGTTTTGATATTAAATATCTCCAATTAATTTAGAAAATATGATTGAATATAACTTTTATTACCAATTTATATTATCATTTAGTTGTGAGAGATTTATATTGCCCCTACCTATTATTTCATATATCTCCTGCATGAAATAAAAGTTCAATTACCCAGAAGAGATATTAACAATGGACTATAATAAATTAGAGAATTTTAAAGCAGTTTTGATAAAAGTATAATCACAAACATACATTATCAGCTCTGATAAATATTCCAGGGTCAGGAAAGAAAATGTTTAAAAGTCAGTCTAAAGCTTAATAAATTGACTTTTAAACATGACTAGATAATGCAAATAGGGAAGTCTTATAAAGAAGTGGGGAAAATTATAATTAAAAATCAATAACATGTTAGATTATTTCCTTATTTTAGAAACCGAGCAATTTGCATCAAAGAGATTATCAAATACTAATAACTTTAAGTTATAGTAACTTAAAATTAAGTGTTTGATTTTTCTTTATTTGGGGACATCATTTATATAGAATAAGCATTGCGTTCATTATATTTTATATTTATGTTTCTTAATATGGGAGCAATGTTAATATTCTTCCTGACCCAAACCAATAATAGAAATTCAATTATTCCATACATGGCAATTATTTAAAGGTTCATGATATTTTTATCATCTACAGGTTTAAGTTACTGGCTTATATTGTAAAGAATATTTTAATGGAAATAGAATACCTGAGCAGCTGGACTCATCAAGTTGGAAATCCATGCAGTTGGCGAAACCATCACAGCGCTCATGAACTGGGATACAGCTATTAGAAGAAGTGCACATCAATGCACCATCAGAACAGCTCCCATTGGCTGGGGGGGGGAAATCATCATTTTTTTAAATGAATTTCTTCTAATGAAATGAGACAAAGATTGTCTAATAATAATAAGATTGTATCATTCCTCATCTTTCTAGTCCTACATTTATTTTTTTTTAAGATTTTATGTATTTATTTGACAGAGAGACATAGCGAGAGAGGGAACACAGGAGGAGTGGGAGAGGGAGAAGCAGGCTTCCCGCCGAGCAGGGAGCCCAGTGCGGGGCTCGATCCCAGGACCCTGGGATCATGACCTGAGCCGAAGGCAGATGCTTAATGACTGAGCCACCCAGGTGCCCCCTAGTCCTACATTTACATTATATATTATTGTTTTTTTGATTCTTCAAAAAGAAGTTTGTTGGGTGCCTGGGTGGCTCAGTTGGTCCCATGTCGGGTTCCCTGCTCAGCAGGGAGTCTGTTTCTCCCTCTGACCCTCTTCCCTCTCGTGCTCTCTATCTCTCATTCTCTCTCTCTCTCTCAAATAAATAAATAAAATCTTTAAAAAAAAAAAAGAAGTTTGTTGATAGAATCACTTCCCACCTGTGCACTATGTACTATTAGACAGGTGTGTATGTCTACAATACACTGTGTATACTATGTAGTCTGAATTAATTTTAGACTAGAATAAACTTTCATTTCAAGGTCGAGCTCCCTGTGCTTCTGTTGTTCCCCTAATGTCCCTGCCATTATATGCAACTGAAATGACCATTACTTGAATTCATCAATTTCTACATGGCTGTTCAGTCCCGGCTGGTCACCAGGTACATGATGTAGGTCAGTGCTGCTCAATATACTATGACTCTGTGCCTTCCTAGCATGGTGCATTTTACTAATTCCATAGTCTCCTGTCGGCCTGACTTCAAGAGACGAGCGTAAGTCTTGCTTGTAAGATGAGCTATTTCAGAAAAATGACTTTACCGATGCTAACCAAGGGTACTGACACTTCCATAGCAATCTAGTCGTGCCAAGTACTTGACCTCCCCCAGATGCTACTCTTAGTCCTGAAGTTATTTTTGTCTTCCTCCCTCTCATTTTCTTGTCTCATTAGGACTATAATTTCCTGTAAAGCAGTAATAATATTTAGGCTCTTTTTACAAGTTAGAGCCGAACCAGAAGCCTTCATTCCAGGCTGCCATGAGGCATCTCCCAACTCCTATGTGCTTGAGAAGCTGGAAACCAGCAGGCTTAGGTTTCAGGCCTGGTCCCTCTTCTCTGGCTCTACTCCAGTCTTGTCCCACGCTGCTATTTGTCATGTCTCTAAGCCTTTTTATGTGATAGCTCTTCCATCTAGCATTGCTACGTTTGGAATAGAGGGAATATCGAAGCATGGACCCATTGCACCATCTCGTCAGGGATTCTGGATAGATTTCAAAAGCATGAAATAATAATGATATTATTTGAGTCCTAGGGTTCTGAAGAGGTAAGCGGAGGGCAGCAGTGAACAGTCAGGGCTTTGTGGTGCTTAACCCAAGTTCAACAAGAATGGTTCTGCTTTTCTCTGACTTACCTAATGGTGTCAAGTACAATACCTTATTTGAACATTTTAATCCAAGCCTGCTGCTAGAAGTTTTAAAAAAAGGATTGACCTGGGAAGTTGCTTCGAGAATAAGGGCAAGTTCAAACTTCTCAAGCTAAATTGATATTTTAGAAGACGCAGGAATAAATATCCCCATGGATGGGTCTTACACAAATTTTGTCAGTATTATCATGATTTTTTTTCTTTAAGTATATTTATGGGCAGGAGTTCTTTGAGTTATTATAGGTTATTGACACAGTTTGACAGCTTTCTATCAAAATTAATTTTCAAGTGGACATAAAATGTTTTTAAGAGTGTGTCTTTCCATTGATTAAAAATGCTAGCTCTGAAAATTAAAGCAATGCTTTTCACTGAATAATCCTGCAGTGCTAGATTATTACTCAGCCATCAGAAAGGATGATTACCCAACTTTTATATCAACATGGATGGGACTGGAGTAGATTATGCTAAGTGAAATAAATCAAGCAGAGAAAATCAATTATATGGTTTCACTTATTTGTGGAACATAAGGAATAGCATGGAGGACATTAGGAAAAGGAAGGGAAAAATGAAGGGGGTAAATCGGAGGCGGGAGACGAACCATGAGAGACTATGGACTCCGAGAAACAAACTGAGGGTTTTAGAGGGGAGGGGGGTGGGGGGATGGGTTAGCCTGGTGATGGGTATTAAGGAGGGCATGTACTGCATGGAGCACAGGGTGTTGTATGCAAACAATGAATCATGGAACCCTACATCAAAAACTAATGATGTACTGTATGGTGACTAATATAACATATTAAAATAAAATAAAGAAAAAGAACTTCAGTTCCCACCAGTAAATATTATGGAGCTGCAGCTACATGTAAGACTCTATGCTTAGCACTTCAACTGGAGAGTGCAGGGGAACACTTCAGAAAGAGTGACCAGAAAAAAAAAAACAAAAAGAGTGACCAGAACATATACAGCAATTAAAGCAAAATGACAATATGAAAGCAGTTAACAGTTCAAAATAATAATAAAAAGAAATGCCATAGGCCAGACTTAATTGGTAAAGCATAGTACAGAAAAGTATTATAAAAATAAGAGGTTCCTTTAGTGCATGAAAGTTTGTAAAGACTGAAAGAGTAGAGTCTTGAGATGTTTTGAATTTTCATGTTTCTAGTAAGCTATTTAGCAGGGTGGGAACAAAATCTATAAATGGGGAATCAATAAGTTGGACGTTAGAACAGAGTAAAGTACTTTGCCTTTCACTGGGGAGTTTGTGTAAGGAGGTAGTGCAGAAAAACTTAAAAACCATGGCCGAAACCAGACTGCAGAAATGGCTAAGGTTCCAGAAGAAATGATCTTTAAGCTTTTGCAAAAGGTTAAATAATTTTAAGATCTACATTGACAGGATAAATGATATTACAAACCAAGTAAACTAGGAAATAGAATAATCTTCCAACTCTTATAGATGAAGAGGTGTTTGTAAAAAATGAATATATACACATATACATGCATCTATATATTCATGTACATATACATGTGTGTGTGTTTGTGTATATATACACATTTTTATCATCATTGTTTTGCATTGCAAGGGGCTGAGAGATCATATAATATTTTTAAGGTTTTTAAAAAATTCTTTTTTAAGATTTATTTATTTGAGAGAGAGAGAACACAAGTGGGAGGGGCAGAGAAAGAGACATAATCTCAGGCTGACTCCGTGCTGAGCAGAGAACCCGATATTGGGGCTTGATCTCATGACCCTGAGATCACAACCTGAGCTGAAACCAAGTGTTGGACCCTTAACCGATTGAGCCACCCAGGTGCCCCAAGTTTTAAGGTTTTAAATAATATAGTATGCTGAAATTTGTATACAAAGCTGATAGATAATACTCATCTACTGTAGAAACATTATTTCAAACACTTCTACTCTTGAAAATATTAATCCATCCATATTCCTTCACCCAATTTCCAGTATGACTGATAGCTTATTTTAAGTTGACTATACCACGAAGAGCTCTAACTTGTAAGTGGTATAAATCCTCAGCTTTGGCCCAAATAGTATTGAAACACATAAAAAATATGTATCAAAATAAATGGTTTCAATTTATAAAAAGTCTTACTTTTCCCTTTTTGAGAAAGTTTACAATTAAGAGTTAAAAATTAGACATTTTGTGAAATTTAAAACTAAAATCTTAGTTTCTATGGCATTTAAAATAGCATAACATTAAAGTTAATAAATATTTATGAATTTCCTTCTGACAGTAGGTGGCAAATAAATTATGAATAGCAAGTAGTATTTATTGAAACCCATACAGCAAAGGGCATTGTACTGAATATAGGAAAATTAACCAAACCATTACTTTCTTTTTCCCCTTCATCATTACCACATATATGACAAAGAAAAATTCCAAAAGTACTCCAAATAATCTATATATAAAATTTATAGGAAACTCAGATTTCAAAATTTCCCTGGACAATATCTACTTTCACCACATTCAAACATTATGGTTTAATGTCTATAAAAACACTTATTTCAATCTGTCATCCTAGAGGTATGGCCAAGTAACACAGAACATTCTGTAGCTTTTACCTCATTCACTCAGGTACTGACGATACATTAAACAAGCAATTCCTGAAGGGTTCATTGGCATTACTTTCCTAAAACAAAATTCCTTTATAAATTATTGTTGCTGCATACAAAATACACACAGAAGTAAAGTACACATGTCTAGGGATGTGTATCCATTTACTATTAAGATGGAAACTAATGTATGCAGTCCAGCATTTCTAAGAGCAGAGTGACCATGGTCTTCTACCCTTAGAATGAACGCTATCAGCCTTTCAAGGCATGCCCATACCTAGCACAGAGCAGGATGGATATTTACTCCTCTATCCTTAAACCAAAACCAACTACTACTCTTGCTGAAATATCTTAGCAGTTTAAATAATTTTTATAAAACTACAAAAACGATTTAAGGGGGAAAGAAGAATAAATTTTATGTGCATTATACAATTGACCATATTCATCCAATTCTTCAGTATCCCCGGAAAAAAGACAATCACCATGATTCTAATGTTGAATAAGCTGAGGAACATTTTTGTAAGAAGCTGTCAAATGCAGAGGGATGATCTTTATACTATCATTGAGAAGCACCATAGGATGCTGGGATCACAGCTAACATACTGAAAGGCTAATAATAAAAATATTGATGATAAAGGCTGATCCACAAATCTGAGCAGCATGGCCCATGCTAAATCTTCCAAATGGCAATCAACTTCATAAGACACATTAACTACTGTTGGAATATAAAGTTAGAAAGTGGGTAGAGGGCACCTGGGTGGCTCAGTTGGTTGAGTGGCTGCCTCTGGCTCAGGTCATGATCTCAGGGTCCTGGGATGGAGCCCTGCATTGGGCTCCCTACTTCACGGGAAGCCTGCTTCTCCCTCTGCAGCTCCCCCTGCTTGTGCTCTCTCTCTCTATCTCTCTGTGT